GTTCATTTTGTAAGCAACATAAGCAATTATTTTTAGGAAAATGTACTCTAAATCATTCTTTTTTCGCGAAACAAATGCACCCTTAATCTCTACACTCGCCCTTTCAATTGGAATGTGGGATGCAGTTGTGTTGTTTGTTTGTCTACTATTGTGTCTTGTCTACTAATTATGTCACAGTCTATTGTGTCTATATGTTGTTACAATAATTTATTATGTCTTGGACATTTTTGATGTGTAGAGACCTGAGAAATACCTTGGAGATTTAGCAACATGGGAAAAAGCTGAGGCCGCCCTTGCCGAAGCATTAAATGAGTTTGGGAAGCCATGGCAGGTAACCTTATAGTTCTTTTTGTCCTTAATCAAGTTAGGCAACAATTTTTCACAATTAAGTTTGGTTTTTTGTAATAGGAAGGGAACTATAGGTTCATAACTGTGAATTTGTCACGAAATTATCATAATCAATTTGTTACTGCTTTTGATCAAAGGTGTTGCATAATCTTTTAGAACATCTGCTTCCATTACCTCATTTTGTCGCTCTTTTACTTGATTCTTTCACAATGAATGCTTCGAGGATATGTTGCCTTACTCCCATTTGCCTCCCTCTTTAAATCTATCGTTGAGTTGCCTGTCTACATCTATCTGCAGAACCTAATACTTTTGCGGAAAAAACTATTCTGCTCTTGCAATATATATCTGTCTGTGACACTCTTATGCATATGATCTATACCACTCTATTTTTCTTTATCGATTCTTACTCATAGGTCACATTTCGCAGATAAATGAAGCAGATGGTGCATTCTATGGACCAAAGATAGATATCAGTGTTTCTGATGCCTTGAATAGGAAATTTCAGTGTGCGACATTGCAGGTATTCATTCTTTTCATTTTGTACATTCAACTTTCTTGCTTGGTCATTGATACTCTTCAGGGTTTGAGACAGATGAATCCTTGTGATTGCAGTTGGATTTCCAGCTCCCCGCCCGTTTCGAGCTGTCTTACTCAGCGGAAGATGAAGGCAAGACAGAGACTCCTGTTATGATACACAGAGCCATCCTCGGTTCTGTTGAGCGCATGTTTGCTATACTATTGGAGCATTACAAGGGGAAATGGCCCTTCTGGCTTAGTCCGCGTCAAGCAATTGTTTGCCCTGTGTCAGAGAAGTCTCTCTCCTATTCTCTAAAGGTAATTTATTTAACGGTCCTTAGCTTGTTAACAACTGAGTACTTAAATGTGTGTGATTTTGCTACTTGGTATTGTCCTCTTTTTCCTGTCTTATAGCATTTAATGTTCTCTCAGAAATATAGGAGGGAGAAAAACATATGGCATCATTATAAATTCAATGTCAATTCAAATAATACTGGTTTTATTGTATCTGTCGCTATTTGAAGGTTTTATGTTGATCCTAGGTGGTGATCAACGTAGCTTCAAATATTTGTTTGCATCACTCTCCTATGAAGTGCTCTCTAATGGTATATTTACTAGCTTTTTAGATAGATGTAGGCTGTAGCAGCGCTCCTCTAGTTATTTACAGTTGCATGAGATGCCATGCGTGGATATTATTGGTTTTCCCGAGTTGTGAATGATATCTCTTCTTGAGCTCTCCAGTTTCGTAATTATCAGCCATGTGCCAAGGTTCTATGGAATAATCAGGAAAATGCTTCTTACACTTGTTAAAATTGTCACCTTATAGGTGCGGGATCAAATTCATGATGCTGGTTATTATGTTGACGTTGATGAAACCGATAGAAAGATTCAGAAAAAGGTACACTCAGAACTCCTTTTTCCACTGAGGTTGAGCCTTGCAGATTCCATAGCTTACTTTTGAAATTATCAATCTGCTTGCATAGCATTTAAATTGGATTTGTCTCCAGGAAATCTTTTCTTAACTTGAACTATTGAAGCTTTCAGTAGCAGATGAAGGGACGAAGGATGATATTTTAAAAGGGAGTAGGGTAATTGCTCTAATTGTGGAATGTGAAATTATCTTCACAATGGAGAGCTTCTGTATTTGTTATGGCACTTGGAGGATGTTGGTTTAAAATGGAATAAGAATTAATTTGCTGTTGTAGATATCCTGTCCAATATTACCTGATTTATTTTGACTCCAATTTTTCCTTTTCACCTGCTTTCATAGTATGATCCTTCTGTTTTTGTCATATTCTAGCCACTTATTGTTGTGCTGTATGTGCCTGCAGGTAAGGGAAGCTCAATTGGCCCAATACAATTATATACTTGTAGTTGGTGAGGAGGAGGCAAACACTGGACAGGTATTCAATCACATTAATTAGTGCAACACCTTCTCTGTGTAGACTTGCTTTGGCAAAGGTTGCCCCCTGAAAATTAGGTTTCCTTATGGAGTAATGCTGATGCTGTTTTTCTATCAGTTAATCATTTCGCGTTTTCCTAGTTGGCCTTCTCAGAAATTATTCTTCTAGTTTTACTGATGTCTGCATTGGTAAATAGGCATTATTGATTAGCATTTGCTTTCCAATTTGTTAAAATCATTTATTGCAAACATTTAGCTTGTCATCTTTACAAGTAATTTCCTGGCAATTCACGTTCAGTTGCTTAGGCCCTAAACATGTCAGTTGCCTTTTCAGTATAGCAAGAGTAGACAAGATGACTCAACTTCCTCTCGAAGGAGGGCCATAAGTTTATGTCCTTTACAAACTCTGTGGCATCCCATTTTGACTCGCTGAACCAGAATTTGTGGAAATTTTGGAGTTCATTCAACTTGAAATCCCAGTTTATAATTACTTAGACAATTAGGTTTTGCTTTAGCAATTTATGTTGATTGCATTATCTCATCGTAGCTTGTTCGTCTGGTGTGCTATTCTCCAGGTTAGTGTTCGGGTGAGAGACAAATCCGACCATTCTGTCATGAGTGTTGGGGACTTGCTGAAGTTCTTCAAGGAGGAAGTTGCAGCTTTTCACTGAAGAAAAAATGATTTCAAAGTATGATCCAGTATTTCCTTTCCGCATTGGAGTTTCAGAGATACACAAATATTTATCTTAATGTTAATTTTATCTCCATTTAGTGGTCCACATCACCTCGTATTGTAGATTACTTGTAGGTTTTTGCTTTTGGTTTGAAATTTAATTTAATTAGTCATCAACTGATTGACGGGCTTTTACCCTGTTATAAATGGACAAATATTGTTACTTTAGAATGATGCTGGATATCATTTCTGCTTGCATTGAGGTTTTGTATCATCTTCGCATTGCTGGGGAAACTTGGTGATGGTATTCTTCGTTGCTATTGTTTTTAGCTCATTTTAAGTCTCGGGTTTCACTCACATTCTAGTTTATCTGCTATGCATCCCATAATGTGAATTAGTCAGCCTACCCGTTTCTCACAGCTTCCCGATAAATTCTATTTAGTCCAGAATTTTATATTTGTACGTTGTCCTGATTTCATAAGATCATTCCACCAATTACTTCCACATGTAGGATTGATAATGGTATTCTAGTCCGTATATCGCAGGAAAAATTACCAAAATAGTTCTAAACATATTAATTTAGTCTTAAGTTTTTTTTTTGTGCCATTTCAGCCCTAAATCTTTTGCATTTGTGTCAATTCAGTCTATCCAGCCGATTTTGGTCGGCCAGTATTGACGTGGACATCAGCCGTTCAGTGTTGATGTGGACATCGGCTATCTGGTCAATGTTGACGTGGATATCGGCTGTATGGCCAATATAATTTTTATAATTTTTTTATTAATTTATTTTCCTTTTTTTTTTTTCCGTTTCTCTACACTTCATCTTCAACCTCTAGGCCAACGCCCAGCTAGAGGCGGAGGCCGGTGAGGTTGGCCCCGCTGGCCACTGGTGAGATAAAACAATGGATTTTTGACTCAACCTACACTCAAACCCGATCCGAATTCGACACATGAACAGGACGCAAACCACAGTCAGGCATGGGACGGACGAGGACCAAAGCCGCGTGTGCCGGACGGCCATGAGCTCCAATTCGAGCTACCCAAAAAAACAGGGCCAAAACAGGGGGGGGGGGGGGGTCGATGGAGCAAAACAGGGGCGCGGTGGTCGCCGGCTTGACCCGGCTCGGCGTAGGGAGAAGACGCGGCAGGGAAGGAGGCGTCAGCCGCGGCTGAGACGTGGTGGTCGCCGGCGAGGGCCTTTCCTCCTCTGGTTCTCTCTCTGCTCAGCCCTCTCTCGCCTCGACTCTGTCTCCTCTCTTTCTCGGTTTCTCTATCTCTCACGGCTCTCACCAAAAACCGACTCCCCACCAGTGTTCTCTCCCTCTCCTTTTAAGGTCGCTGGCCACTTGCTCTGCTCCTGTCCTTTGCCCCTCTACTCTGCCCCTGCTCTGCTCCGCAGCCTGCTTTGTTTCGCTCGTTTTTGCTTGCGCTGAACGTTGGCCATCCCTTGGCTGTGGACCATCCAGCGCACAGGGAAGAAGGAGCGAGGAAAGAGAGGAGAGGGAAAGAGAGAGAAGCTGGGCTGGGCTGGGGGAGAAAGAGGCACAGACGGGGCCGGCCTTGGCCCGGCCCGGTCTGATTTTTTTTATTAATTTTTTTAATAATAAATTTTTAATTTTTTCAATTAAAAAAAGAAAAGAAAATATACATTTTAAAAGTGCAAAATGTACCTATTTCTGTATACATTGCAATTAAAAAAAATTATTTTAGGAATTAAAAATATTAATTCTTAAAATTTTACATAATTAATTTTTATATAATTAAAAAATAGATATCAACAACCGTTCGATTTCCTCGGCAGAGAAAAGGAAAGAGCGCAAAGCGGCGGAGGAAGAAAGATAAGCTGAAAAGGCATTGCATATTCATATACAAGGAATCCAAAGTCATTATAAATGACAACGACCGGAGCAACACAACTAGAGGATGACCAGTGCATAGAGGGAAGAAGTAGTCAATAATTAACAAAAAGAATGAATAAAAAATCAAATGGCATAAAGAACGAAGAACAAAACCAATAATGGCCAGTTGGCTAGCAAGCCAAAAAGCCACACCATTATTGGAGGTTCTGATTTCTTCGTGTGCGAGATTTTTTCTTCCTCCAGCCGCGTCTCTATCTGCTCCCAGTGAACCAGGAGCGATCTGCACCTTGTGATTCTTCGGAGGAGACACATCATCTCCTTCCCTGCGAAACCAAAGTAGAGACCAAACAGCGAACTTTCACTTGGATTGAGAAGAAGGGACAAAGGGACAAAGAGAAAGGAAAGGAAAGGAAATGGTGGGTGGTGGTGGTGCGGGGCTAGTGATGGTGCTGGTGGTGATAGAGTTCTTGGAACAGGGGCTGAGCACCATGAGCAAAGCGGCCATGAGCAGAGGCATGAGCAACTTCGTCTTCGTTGCTTACTCCAATGCTCTCGCCATCTTCTTCCTTTTCTCCGCTTCTATCCTCTTTTACAGGTTAGTAATAGACTAGTTTCCAGCTACTAGCTCCTCAGGTCACGCCATTCATCTTGAGGACTTGCTAAAAATACGCTCTTTGTTTTCTTCCTTCTTTCCTTTTCTCGCAAATTTTCCAGGAAAAGAAGGCTTCCCAGACTCACAATCTCCATAGCTCTCAGAATCTTTCTTTTGGGTCTGATAGCGTACGAATTATTCCGTTTCTTGATTTGTTGGCTTGCGGTTGTTTTGTATATTTAGCATAGATATGTCTAATTGAATGTTGCCGTGGTGGTGACTGGTGATGGGGCATAAATGAATTTGATACATGGGAATTTGTGAAACTGCAAAACAAGCAGGACGTGTTTGCAACTGTTGATGTATGTGGGGATCGGATATAGCTCTCCTACTTTGGCCTCGGTCATGACCGATCTCGCTCCTGCGTTCACTTTCATTCTTGCTCTCGTCTCCAGGTATGCTCTTATCCAATGTTCCTCCACTTTCTATTCATCATAATCATTCAAGCAAAAGCTTATCCTTTTTCTCTGGGTAGAAAGTTAGATATATACCAATTGTTAAGACCGGTTTACAATGTAGGTGTACGAAAACGATGAGACGAACTCTCATCGAGTGTCAGATATGGTTAATTTGTTTGAAGGTTCACTCGCAGTTTGTCACTTCAGTTGATGTACTTTGTAAACCAATCTTAGCACAGTAAGATTAGCATTACCCAAAGAAGATTTTATGTACTTTGTTAGTAGTGTCACACAGCTTCAACAAGTAATGGAGCATGCTCCTAAACACTCCAGCTGATGTATAGTGCTCTAGATTCCTTCTTCTTTGTTAACTTTGAGTATGTTTGACATGGATGATTGATCACTGCCGCGCTAATTCAAGCAAGAGAATGCTCTAGATTCCTTTTTCTTTGTTAACTTTGAGTATGTTTGACATGGGTGATTGATCACTGCCACACTAATTCAAACAAGAGAGTGGAATGTGATTCCGGAAAAAAATGAATATAACTTGCCCTTACCAAGACATGAAACAATTGGTTAATAATGCAGGATGGAAAAGATTGACTTGAGAGTGCAAAGCAGCATGGCTAAATTCATGGGCACAATAGTATGCATCACCGGTGCTCTCACTGTTACACTCTACAAAGGCCTACCGCTCACAAATGTTTCACCATCGATGCATCAAGAGCTCCTTCTTCAGCCGCACTCCAGCTGGATTATCGGCGGCTTTCTTCTCGCGTGCGCTGCCTTCTTGCTCTCGGTTTTACTAGTTGTTCAGGTATGTCGATCAAAGTGTGTAAATTACTCGATCATTTGTGTAATTAATTATATGAATATGATAAGGTCTAAGTATACCAACATCACCAAAATAACATTGACGTTACGATGCTCAATTGTGAATGGTGTGGATAAAAATTAGTTCCAACAAATCTGATGGGATCAGAGCTATTTCCAAAGTCAGGACACAAAAACCCTTGAACATCGGCCAAGTACAAGGACAGTCTATAATATACCATCTCGTTGAGCATTCCAACACACACGGAGGGTACTGCAAAGTCCCTCAATCTCTCTAAACCATTGAGCATACAGTGACTAAGTTTCTATTACAATCTGCAGACATGGATAGTGAGGGATTATCCTGCAGAGCTAATGTTGACACTCCTAGCTTGCGTCATCGTGACAATACAGTCCACCATCGTGGCTCTGATCGTGGAGAAAGACGTGAATGCTTGGATGTTGAAGCCCGACGTAGAGTTGTTGACCATAGTTTATGCGGTAAGCACCAAGCACAGAGAATGCAACTATTGCAAATGTTAAAGCTAAAAGCACTCCTGACTATTAAGTTTGAGCTTGATTACTTCATGGGCAATTGATCTTTTATAGGCATTTTTCGTGGTAGCTATAAGGAGTGTGACTTACACATGGGTGTGCAAGACCAAAGGGCCTCTCTACATCTCCATGTTTAAGCCACTTGGCATGATCATTGCCTCTGCGATGGGGGTTTCTTTGCTTGGCGACACTCTTTATCTCGGAAGGTATGAGCAAATTAAATCTTTTTCTAAACAAAAAAAGAAAACCTGGGTTAAAATATCCGTTGCATGGACTAGAGTCAATGTCTTGTTAATCTTTTTTCAAGACAGTAATATATGCAACTTGATTCAATTTGTGGGTGTGCAGTGTGATTGGAGGAGTCATAATAGCTATTGGGTTTTATGCTGTCATATGGGGGAAAGCCCAGGAAGAGAAGGCGGTCCAAGAAAGTGGAAGTTTCAGCTTCGAGTCTTCCTCTCCTAAAGTTCCTCTTTTGAGCAAACACGTGGAAGCATAGCACTTCTCTCGACTTGACTGCTGTCTGGTTTCAGATTCAGATTTGGATACATAGCCAGGCTCAAATAGGAAACTTTTACAGAACAATATTTTTGTTAGTTCATATGTTTGTATGGTTAGATGCTTTTTTGAGATAAAGCAGACTAGCTTGTAAGGCTTATGACTGCTGATACTTGTAAAGTTGCCATTGCCAAGAATCTTTCTGACATCTTGGCATCGTAATGGTTTTTTCTTTTTGATTAACCACCGGTGGATGAAAGAAGAACTTTTGTCTTTGGTTGCGAAATATAGTTCAACAGGAAGTCAATTTTCCCTTAACGTTAAGCAGGACTGTTTAACTGATGTTGACTGAAGAACCGAATGAAAAGGTCCTTTCAACTGATACCTTTTTCCTTTTCTTGGAAGCAAACAAAAAAGCAACCAAAGTTGAGAGATTTGTGAAATTGTTGGTTCACAAGCAAAATACAATAAACAACTCACAATCCAAATGGAGTATGAGCAATGCCAACTCTTTTCCTTCTTTTCCTCAATCTTTTTCTTAAAGCACAATTCTACTCCGTGTATGTGTGTGTGTTTATGGTGGTTGAAAATGGAGGATGTTAGTTCTTTTGACCCATCTCCTAACCTGTCTTCATCTATACATACTAAAGAGCTTATTCATGTTCTGATGACCAATTTCACTCTCTTTATAAATCTCATCCCTCTTTTTATCATACTTCTATATCTAGTCCAACCCATTCCCTTTTGATGTTATGTGAATCGTGATTTGTCGTCTGACTTCTCACCACCAAGAATTTGGTCCACCTCCTGTAGACAAAACTATGCCATTTGGGTTAGTTTCGGCTTGGAACAAGCGCAGGCGAAGCAAGTCTCAAGATTGCAACGAACCCTGTATGTTCGTCCCGCTCCCGTTACATCCAATTTTGTCCATCCCTACAATTTTGCTTATTATTCTCTTTTGTGCATACAATCACAGAATGGAGACGCATTTTTTCTTAGCATAATGTGTTTGAGTTAATATGAAGATGTGTAGCTCATAGTTTAGAGTCCTATGGACCTCACAGGGACTTATAAGCCCGTTGAGTTGTGGCAGCTGGACGATCAAGCTCTACGACCTGCAAAAAGACACCATGTATCATCAGTCTTTACTCTCAAGGAAATGGAAGAGGCAACTTCTTCTTTTAGCGATGAGAATTTTCTCGGCAAAGGAGGCTTTGGACGAGTTTACAAGGGAACCTTGAAGTCGGGAGAGGTATAAATTAAACCAAGGGCAAAATAATTTAGAGAACCAAAGAGAACTCTCTAGTGGCCTGTTTGCACAATTCAGAATGCTAAGGGTAAAAGAGCCGAAAAATTTAGGGGAAAAAGGGAACCTGTGAGTGTTCTTGCAATATGAGACACTCAGAATGAATGTCATGCTGAAGAAAGAATTAAAATGTGATTTCTGGAGTCTTCATAATCCAGTTAATGTGATTTCTCGCTTTGTCTATATCCAGATTGTTGCAATTAAGAAGATGGACCTACCACACTTTAAAGAAGCCGAGGGCGAGCGTGAGTTCCGTGTGGAAGTTGATATATTGAGCAGGCTTGACCACCCAAACCTGGTTTCCTTAATTGGCTATTCTGCTGATGGAAAGAACAGATTCTTGGTATATGAATATATGTCTAACGGAAACCTCCAAGACCACTTGAATGGTTGGTTTTTCAGCCCATAATCTCTACGTAGGTGCATAATTTGTGGTCGAATTCATGCTAATTGCTAACTGTAAGCGTAGGAATCAGAGAAAAGAAGATGGAGTGGCCTCTAAGGCTCAAAGTGGCACTCGGTGCAGCAAGGGGACTTGCTTATCTCCATTCAGGTTCTTCCATTGGGATTCCGATTATTCATAGAGATATGAAGTCCACTAACATTCTTTTGACAGCTGATTTTGAAGCAAAGGTATGTAGCTGAAAATCGGTTTTACAGATAATACAGTAGTATTTTTCTTTGGAATGAGATTCACCTACGGTTTCAACAGATATCTGATTTCGGGCTCGCAAAATTTATGCCGGAGGGCAGCGAGACATACGCCACAGCCAGAGTGCTTGGCACTTTTGGCTATTTTGATCCTGAATATGCATCGGTATGCAGTTGCTACTTCCACCATTTCTTAGTGTAAAGCATGGTCACAAAGCATCAAAAGGCATTTCCACAGACTTGGTTGTTTTTTTGGATTGCCAGAGTCTCTTATCTTGCCAATAAAAAGTTGGCACGAAGGCATCTGCGTAAGAACTCATATTTGAACTTTGATACTATCTGTAAGGATAATAAGATGCGTTCCTAAGAAAAACTGCTACGCCATCCGCATGTTTATCTATTTAAATCACAATACCTGCCGCACTTAGAATACAGAATCTGGAACTGTAAACTTGACTGGTGGATAAAGAAAAGTGTCAACCGAACATCAGTCTCAAACAATGTTATATGAGACAATCATTGGGGCTAAAATGTTTCGGTTTATTTACACTTGGCGCGTGCTCGCATGTGTGTTTCATTTTCGCTTCAAGTGCCGAAACAGATTCACTGTCTCTCTTCTGGCAACAGACGGGAAAACTCACATTGCAAAGCGATGTTTATGCATTTGGCGTGGTGCTTCTCGAGCTCTTGACGGGGCGAAGAGCCGTGGACTTAAACCAAGGACCGAATGACCAAAATCTGGTCCTACAGGTAAAATATTAACATTTCTAACGATTTCAAGAAAAATTTGACACTCCGTATTTCATACAAAAATCAAGTGACTAAACAATGCGCGGCGAATTTCAGGTGAGGCACACATTGAATGACCGGAAGAAGTTGCGGACGCTGATAGATCCCGAGATGAACCGGACTTCATATACAATGGAGTCCATAACCATGTTCGCGAACTTGGCATCACGCTGCGTCCGTCCTGACAGTGGGGAGAGACCACTGATGGCCGAATGCGTCAAAGAGCTTCAGCTGATACTGTACACGAACTCGAAAGGCTTAAACATGGCTTTGCATAAATCTGGTTATCAATGGCTCAGACCTAGTTCTGGAGGTTTTCTTGTATAGAGACAGAAGAAGATAGAAAAACAGGACACGATCTAGAATATACGCTAAAAATATGGTTTTTTTTTCCCACTGTTTCCATGTATTATGGAAAGCTTTACCCCGCGGCAATTGTTTTCGAATATGCAACGGTGTATAACATGAACTTATGCGTTCTACCAAAAAAAAAAGAAGAATTTTATGGTACTTTTGAAAAGTTGCCAACGTGTCTTGAAAAGTACTTAGCACATTTGAAGAAATCCTTAATCTCAATTCAGGAATTAATGAATCTTCCGCAGATATGAGCTCAATGAAGAAACTAGGATATCTGAACGGCAGTGCAAGAGATGTGCAGTTGTGAGGAATAGAGAGCGTGAGATATATTACAACTCAAAAGATTTCACTCCACACTAGGGCCACATTTGCAAAAATCAATTTCTTTTTTCAAGTGGTGCTAAATTACATCAAAACTGTCCTCTTCAATTCTCTGTATAATTGGAGACTTACGTCGACTTATTGCGAAGATCAAGCTTCTTCGAATCACCCAGATGTTAAATTAAGACCAGGAAGATATGGCCAGGCATAGGTTCTGGCTTTAATTTGTTGAGGTGCTCACAGCACACGTCTTTGTTTGTCATTCACATTGTGAGACCCTGATCTGATAGCCTTACAAGACGATGAACCCTTTCACTCAAACAATCTGGCAGGAATAGGATGGTCCCATTATGAACCTGTTGACTTGATATCAGTCCCACAAGAAGGACATGGACATGGACATGGACACCCAAAAGTAGCAAAAGGTAAAAAAGAAAAAGACATGACCTTCAGCTTTCTTGTAGATGACGACGCTACATGGCTAATGTAACTATTTCTTCTTTCTTGTTTTCTCTCCTTGGGAGCAACTAAAGTCATGTGTTTTGTTGATATCTGAAAATGGGAAATAAAAAAAGGTTGCCTTGGATTCCAATGGCTAGAACCTAAAACCGAACCATAGGGCCCACCGAAGATTTTGATTGCTTTTCTGGACTTTTGGGAGCAAAAGGCAAAAAGCAGATGAACAGAAGACTCGTGAAATTTGCCCCAGCTCCCTTCGCTTGTGGTTCCTCGTACTAAACCCCGGAGTGGAGAATGAGATTTTACTAAAGAATAAGATAAGTCCTCACGAAATAACAGTAATACCGAACGAGATTAGTCCAAATCAGCGAAACATCATAGAAGAATGTGCTGCATGAAAGATAAAAAGGAAATAAAGTGAGAAAATCCGATGTGCAGATCGAGCCACGCGGTGTCCGAATCATGGTATTAGCATTCGACCGACCAGTACATACTCGCTGGAATTTGGAAGAACATCTTGTGGATCTACAGATAGCGGCGCTCGTGTCCCATGAGTAATCTCAGAGTAATCTAAACTTCAGATGGAGGGTGGAAAATTCAAGAGCCAGAAGAAGTTTGAATTCTCAAAATAAGACAAACAAGTGTGGTGGAGCCACGACTTCCTTTCAAGACAAAACTGAATACGAGCATATTTGCCCAAAACTAACCGAGATGAAACTTTCTGTACACGAACAGGACAAAAGAACTGGCCAAGGACAATCGGTTTATGATTTTAGCTGTGGAATCATTTTGTGCACAAGGCAAAGAGCACACTATCATCCAAACAATCCCTTTCTCTGGCAACATTAGAACCTTCTTCCTTTAGTTTCCTCAATCATTCCCGTTGTCTTCCTTCTCAGTGATCAATATTTGGTCACCGAATTTCATCGGAGACAGAGCTGCATCATCATTCTACCTCATCTATTTGTCTCGTTCCAGAGATAAAAATCACCACCATGCTGCTGCCAAAGTCATCGAATGATCGATAATCTCGTCATGCTTGACCTAGAGATCACTTGTTCATCTCTCCGCCGTTCCATCTCTTGATCACCTCTAACAATATCTCGTTCCATGTGTCTATGGGCCCTGGCAAGCACCAATGGACGCAATCATTCTGCACGCGATCCTTTACCCCGTCAGCGAACGGGAACGGGTACATGTACGGTCCCGGGTGGCCGTCTGGCCGCATCAACGACAATTTGGTTATGTCCAAGGCATCGAACCTAAACCCCGAGAAATCTCTTGCATCTGCCTTCGCAGCCTCCACTTCCTCCACCTCCATTTTTCTCATCTCTGCATCCATTCCTTCAAGCAGCTTTTCACCTTCTTGATAAGGCTTCGTCTTGGGACAAGCGCCGAACTTGTCCCAGTCGCCCTCAAAATGCGAGGGCGAAAACGTCGTCACAAGCACATCCGTCGCTCTACCACTAGCCCTGGTCCTAGCAATCAGGGCCTTAAGCGTTGTCCTCAAGGCCTTCCTCAACACATCGTAGAAGCCGATTTCGGTATGGTTCAAGCCGGGGCAGTAATGGCAACCCAGGGCAGAACCACCCTCGTAATACACAGCAGGATGAAGAAACCAATGCCCAACTGACAGAACCACCATGTCCAGTGAACCCAAATCACCTGCCCACCTCTCATCCACAGAGTCCAAATACAACTTGTTGTGATCAGGCCCTGAGCTTGATTTCTCCACACCCTTAACTAGAAAAGGTGACCAGTAAACCGAAATGGTCATGTTGTGACCGGCAAAGTTCCACTTCCTAAATTTGTTGTCCTCTCCATCTCTATACACAAGGGTGGGGTCAGAAACGGAGGACAGCATGCAGAGGAGGGACTCCAGCTGGTTCCTGGCCATGGAGTCACCAACAAAGGCGACATTTTTGTTCCTGAGAAGTTGGAGAAATTTGGTTGGCTCAAACCTGGGCAGGTAGCATTGATGTGGCTTCCACCTCCAATAGAGGTACTCCACATCAGGCCTGCCGTGTGCGATGCAATTCTGGCCATCCTTTATCGTGCCACAAGTCGTCCCATTGTACAGAGGGCCCGACTTGTCGCGGACCCACTTGCCATTGGTGTAGTCACAGGGAGGAGGAGGACGAGGAGGAGGAGGAAGAAGAAGAGGATGGGCTTCAGTGATGGCAGCACCTCCTGCCTCTTCAGCTGAAACGAAGAGAAGAACACAAGATGGGTGTTAAGAGTCGTTACCCAAATCCCAGGTTCCACGAAGCAAACCACACCCAGCATTGCAAATGCGGTCCCATCATCCTAGAACTAAAAAAAGGCGAGAACTTGGCGAGCGAACCGCGAGAATGTTACCTTGAGGGGGAGAGGAGAGAGAAGGCGTGACGAGGATGTGATCGGAGCCAGGGAGGTGGTCCGTGGGGGACCAGGGGAGAGGGAGAGTGTAGAAGTAGAGGCGGAAGAGAGCCAGGGGAAGGATGGCGTAGATGGTGTAAGGCAAGAACCTCCAGAAGGAGAACAAGATCGAGTGTTGTTGGTGTTTCTGGTCGTTGAATGGGCCCGAACCACCCATCTTCTGCATCTCTCTCTCTCTCTCTCTCTCTCTCTCTCTCTCTGGGGAGAGGGCGCTGTCTTGCTTACGGTTCAGCTACGTTAGCGGTTGGTGTTGAAAGTTTCAGGCTTCAAACGCAGAGGAAAGCTGAGGGAAGGAGAACGAGAGGGAGGGAGGATGGATGGATGGAGTCGAGACGCAGGGGGAAGCGGCATCTCTCCAATCCAAGGATTCCTCGCCCGCTATCTATGGGGGGGGGGGGGGGGAGTTGGCCAACTAAACCAATACTAAAGAAACGAGGGATCTGTCGCGTGCTTTTGGCCTCTGCTCTTTCGGAACGTGTCCTTCTCTCTCTCTCTCTCTCTGTGCTCCGGTGCTGTCGAGTGTCATCATCACTGCCATCATACATTACGTACCCACAGTTCCTTCTGGTTCATCTTCTCCTTTCGTTTTTGCTCATCTTGTTGTTGTGCCCCTCCCGAGTAATCAATCCGTCGTCGTCCCCCCCATCGTTCTGCGAGCGATCTGTTTTAGGCTGGGTCGGTCGGGCTCCGATTCTTCAATAATTGACTTTTGGAAAAGTAAGGAAAAGAATATCGAAAGACTCAATCATTAGGTTACAGAAGCACCCTGATGAGTAGCCAAAACAATCCGTCCGATTATGGTAAATCATTGGTGAAATTTAATCAAGTCCGAATTTTGAAAAACTCCGCGTTACTGAAAGAAGCGATAAAATAATGTCCCCGAGTCGATAATGTACAACATCCAAGACTCAGACAGGATAAAAGAAAAGCTCTCATATTTACCGCTCTAGCCGGAGAACACGGTAACAAAGAACGCTCGAAATATCGCGCGCGGCTTGAAATTCGGATGCGACCGACTCGCATTTCCAAAAGAAAACTCATCGCACCCAAAAGAAAGTTTCGATCGACATGATCAAAACATTTCGTACGTACAGTTCTTCCGGTTCATCTTCTTCTTTCATTTTTGCCATATTATCAGGGTTAATACCACGAAATATCTCGAACTAATGTATTTATAATAAATTAAGTACTAATTGATTTTTTTGACCACAAAAAGTCACAAACTGGTGTACTTATTGCAAATTTACCCCGAAATAAAACTCATCGCACCCAAAAAAAACTTCGATCGACATAATCAAAACCGCCGCCGTGGCACATATAGAGATACATATATATCATCGGATCGAAGTCTACAAACATTGCTTAGCCTTTACATTCGATAACACCTTTTGACAACAAGAAAAAAAAAAAATCGACGACATATTTATTTTTCAAAGAACCAAAAGTCCGCCAGCTCAGCATTCCTATTATTTGGGGGGGAGGCATGTCGTACGATGTATTTGTCGCAGCGGCGACTTGTCGGGCTCGGGGAGCGGAGTGGGATTTTCTCGTAGGAGAAGAAGCCTTTTTAAGACCACAAAGTTCGGTCCATTTATTATTGCAATCATTTTCCCACAACCCCTGATGCTTGCTAGGGTCACCGCGCTCCCTCCGAAAGCTCCCAATCGCCCGGTGCCACGTGCCCCGTCCCACCCCGGGCGCGGGTGCCGTGGGCCCCGCCTTCGGCATCACAATGACACCGTCCGTCCTGCGATGCCATGGCGCGAGGTCGGCCGGAAGAAGTGCCGATCCCCCCCCCCCCCCCTGCCAAAACCTTCGCATCAATCAAGCCGCTAGTTTATGATTATCTATTCGTCGTTTTATCGATTTTTATGAGAATTTATATTTAATTACCGATCTATCACTTATCGCCGGCTATGCGATTCTCGATCCCTTGCAAGCCTCGTGCTTCGCATAGGAACGACACAAGTGGACAACGGTTACGTGTCGACGGAAATAGAAAATAACCTGTAACGACGCCAATGTACGCCGATATGATGCATATATATATTCATACATTTTCCATTAAAAGCGTGAATTTCATAAGGTACAAGACTCGACCAAAAGCGAGTTATTATGTAATTGGAGACGATGCACATTGAGATTTCGCAATATTTAGTTTGGAATAATGTGCACAATCTTTTCCCGCCTTGACGGTTCGATCCTACAACACCGCGATCCCTTAACCCCGAACCGATCGAATGAAATCTCGTACGCTCATAACTAATATTCTCCTTATTTATTTCTCCCGCAAATTATTTTGCTAGCTAGTGCCGCAACACTTGTAGTGGGATTGAGATTAATTAGGTGTTTATGTCCAGTGCTCCACGTTCTGACAGCTAAGGCACGACGTAACTATGGCTTAAAATATAGCATTAATCAAATTGCTCGGCATGCTCGAGATTGGATCTACACCAAATTAAATAATAGACATTGGTTATAATCATGGAGTGCACTGCTTACAGTCGACATCGATAAGCTCGATATTCATTATTTAAATCCGACGGAGGATGTCCTCATGAGATCTATCTTACCGACACAATTATGAGGTGCTGCTAGTAAACCTTAATTACGTTTGATTTTGTTTTTGCTTAGCAATATTATAATCGCTCTCTCCACTCATAGGTTCCTTATTTCTCTTTAATTACGGAAAATCCCTTCTCGATTTGTTCTCAAGGTTTAAACTGCTGGTAAAGAATTCAAATTCATGTATTCGGTCTTACAAAACCCTAATGGTCACCCCGTGGGCTTCGGGCTTCGAGAGGGTCGAGACATTCACCGGCATCGTAAAAGCCCTCGGCGATACTCTTCCCGGGAGACGTGCGAAACGGAACTCGTTCCCGCGTAACGCGTCGAGGATTAATCCGTGACTTCGCAGGCGAAGTGAACCCATCCGTTGATCGCGAGATCGGTGATCCAGGACGGTATCACGTGGTTCGCGAGGCACGAGCGAAATGGCTTTGACTTTGGCGCGCTCATCCGCGCCCAACCCACGATGCGTGAATGCGATTTCGAGGAAGGATGGAGCAAATGCATCGTGCATGTGACCCACAAACGTACGCTCTTGCTTTCTCCTTAATTTATTGCGTCCCAGGATAGGACCACGCCTCGTGCACGAACCCGAATTGCAAGGCCGGAAAAACAAGAGACGAAAATCGACAAAGCGGTATTGCATTTCGGTGCTCCATCTTCCTCGGTCACGAGAGGCATCGTGGACCGCCGGCTAGCTACACTTAACGGCCATTCTAATGATGCTCCTCTTGCGGTACCTAATAATAATAACTGCGTCGATGGAGACGTGCTGAAGACAGAAGACGACCTGCTCGAAAGGCGTGGTGTACCGATTCTGCTCAGATGTCGCCCTCGCCACGAGACAGAGAGAACTGGGACATTGACATTTGGAGGGGACCCAAGCGTGGTTTAATGGGTTTTAGCTTTGCTTACGAAAGACATTGACATTTGGAGGGGACCCAAGCGTGGTTTAATGGGTTTTAGCTTTGCTTACGAAAGACATTGATCATCTTTGGCCTTCTGCTTTGGATCCACATGAAGAGAGAGCCGATGGATACGCCGATGCAGAGATGCATGGTTTAGCTGCACTGCATGTTGCCATCAGCAACGTCATGCTAACGCGGTATTTCCAAGAATACGTAGCTAGCGTGACACAGAAATGCTTGATTTTCAAAGTATCGATTTCAAAAAATTGCACAAGAGAATAGCAAACCTGTTAAAATAAGCCATAAACCCATTTTTTAACCCATATATAATGGGCACGGTTGTAATATTCAATAATGGGTCATAAATGGGTTTAAACATAATATGAGTATTGAATGGGTTATAAATGGAAGACCCAACCCACCTCTATGACTCTCTATTCGTTCTCTCCCGATCTCGCACTCACCCATTCTGCACTCTCACCTCAGTTTGGCTATGAATTTTCGTAAATTGGGTTGAATATGGAAGTGTTTTAGTAATATAGGTTTGAACGGATATGTGTTAGGTATGAGTTGGGTCTGGTATGGGTCACTATATTTGCATTGCATAGAAATGTGTTAAAACGGGTTAAATGGATCTATTTGGGTCGGACCATATTTGTCCTTACCCAATCCGCCCATTTGACGGGTCTAAAAAATAATGCAATCTATCCAACAGGGGTCATAGGAACCTCTCTCTTTTTTTTACAACCATGGATCGGGCTGACAAGATAATCAGGCATTGGGTGGCCCAAGAGATGTATAATGTAGAAGCTTTTTCTCGGCATATTGTCTGTGTTCATGGCATGGCCCAATCTCTCTCAGGAAGAGCCCAAAGGAAAGGATCTTAATCCAAGCTGTCCCACCATTACTCTAACTTGAAAGACAATGATGCATCACACAAATTATTATCGATAATAATTTATGTCTAAGTATTTTCATAAATGATAAAAAATATTGTTCGTTTATTCATTTTTGTAAGTGATACAAACAATCATTTTTTAGGAAAATATTTTCTAAATCATTATTTTCCGCGAAACAAACGAAGTCCTAAATGAAAATTATCGATATTGCAAAACCTCTTGCCATCTTCTCTCTCCTTTTCCCTCTCGCTAATTAACTAGGTGACTGCCACCGCCGACCTCCGAGAATCGGAGCTCATTTTTTGTTTGGGGAGAACTTTTAAGCTAGAGCCTCCTTCGTTGGCACCAAATTGTGGTGGAGCTTGATATGGACAATATCCTTGTCCACAAGATCTTGAACTTTCTACATAGAATTGGTCGGACTGGTCCAACAGTCAAGGTCGGCAAGTTGGGCTTGGGAAGGGAATTGGTTGCTCAGAGGACCCATTTTCCATCCGGATCCATCAGGTCGGGGCGAGCCCATCTTGCCCATAGATCACGTCGGGGTTAATCATGTATTTGATCAAACATATCATCCGTTAATATATAAGATTGACACGATACATAGAGTCCGAAATTGATAAGTATATACGATTCATATGACTAACGACAAAATTGCATTGTTTGATGGTTTATTTAGACAATGATGAAGATCAAATCGAGATCCTCGGCCATTAAAAAGATCAATAGATCGGATAGACGTATGTAAGAGCAAAAAAAGAGTGAAAAGTATCAAAAAAGTTTCAAACATATTGTATTGGTACCAATTCAATCACAAATCTTTCAATTTAACAAATTTAGTCATAAACCTTTTGCATTTATGTCAATTTAGTTCATTCGACTAATTTAGACCGGAAATCACTAATATTGACAGCAGCCGTGTCACAATCGACATCGACGTGGACAAATTTTACAAATTTTTTTCCCTTTCTTTTTTTCTTTCTCTTTTCTTTTTGGCAGTGGCCGG